TCTGGTGGAGTTTTCGATTTGTACGCCATATTCCGTCGTCTCTTACTATGCCACCAGTTAGTTAAATTCTAGTATAACTCTTGAATAAAGTGTAGAGTGATATATTCAATAAATATATTTGTTTAATTTTAATTCTTTTTGAGTTGCTTAAATCAAAATGATATCAGTAGGTGAATTGCTTAAGGTTTACACACGTTTCATTCTTCTATTTTTCTACGTGCTGTCACTCTTCGGGGCGTGGGCGATCATGGTTGCCCATAACTTCCACTTTTTAGTGGTTCTTAGTAAACTTTGAGCTTTTAGGATCACTCGTAATCCTTCTTCTGACAAACAATTATACCAGTTCGTAAGGTAGATTATTAACTGCATTACTCTCTCTGTTATGTCTTCAATATGTTCCATGAGTGTTTGATTCTTTTAAACCTTCTATCTTCGTTATTTGCCTTACAGATTTCATTTTATCTTTCTGAGGGTGGGGGGTGTTAATATGCATTTCCTGAGGGTATTTGCGCGTAAATGTAATGCAACGAACTGGACTCGAATTCGACTCTCCGAGATCTCATTCCGGAACTCTATCCATTATCCCACAACAGAGTTACTAGAAATATCATAATCAAGACTGGCGTAAATATAAATTTTGTTAACAGCATTTCGAGCATTAGGGATCATGGCTTCCCACAAATTCTTTTTTCTTTGGGCTGCTCTAACTACTTGAAAAAAAAAAAAGTAGACTAGATTTACATTATATTCTGCATTGTTTGAAATTCCGAGTAATTCTTTTCCAAGTCCAGTCTGCTGGGTTTTGGGAAAAGCTAATTGTATATTGTTACTTAGGCCCTGAAGAAAAATATTGATTTATGTTCTTGGAATTGATACTCAAAGGACAGATTGAAGGCAAGAGGGCCAGAGGAAATAAACGTACAACCTAGCCTACGAGCTTGAGTGAATGAATGAGGGAGAAATGATTGGGAGAGATGGCAAAAAGACAAAAGTTATTAAGATCTACAAAGCACAGGAAATTGTGGAGACCTATGACCGCCAATATCCTGAACGTACACGACATATAGAAGTAGAAGATGGAAGTGAAGGTGTTGTGACGGGATAGGACAATATTTTAAGACGAGAAAGCAATATACAATTTCATTCTTAAATAGCACATATTAGCAAAATGATCTAAGGTCAATCTATATCTCTACTCTTTATTTGTTGAATTTTCTATTGAGCCAGAGATCGGAAATTATGACCTGTTGTATATATACTAAAAAGTTCCTTATGAGTTCGTATGAAGTGGGATAAAAAGAACGTATATATATTTCATTTAATCCGACACCGATACATTTTCAATACACTTGATTTTCCCCTCCTCCTACCCACCTACTATCATACCTCAGGTCGTGCGCTTATTCATTTATAATTTTTTGTATTTTTAAAAAGTAAAGTGTTAGGAAATCAATTGACCGAATTCGCCTGAAGATAACGAAAAGTTGAAACCAAGGTAGCGGAATCGGCTGATTTCTTAATTTTTTATATATATATATATATATATATATATATATATATATATATATATATATATATGGAGTTAAGCTTCAATATATATATATATATATATATATATATATATATATATATGGAGTTAAGCTTCAAGATAGGACATCTAACGTAGACCTGTTTAACAGGTGTAATATTGGAGGAATCGAGACTTTTATCATACAGTCTCAGTTACGGTGGACTGGTCATGTCTTGAGAATGTCTGATGACAGGATACCCAAGATCTTAATGTACAGCCAGTTAGATCAGGGCTACAGGAATGTAGGATGCCCATGGGTAAGATACAAAAACAAGCTGAAAAGCAACTTGTCAGCAGTCAATATACCACATAACACCACATAACAGCGCTTAGCTTTGGAGCGGGTAGAATGGAGATCAATGTGTTTTAGTGGACTCAGCAATTTTCAATCTGATTGTCTGAATCATCTTCAAGAAGCGAAAGCATGATCTAAAAGGTCAGCCAATCTAACAGTGATCTCATCTCACAATTCTCACACTTGCTCCATATGTGGCCTCCGTTGTAAATCACTAAAGGGTCTTAAATGCCACTTAAGATTATCGCATAATCTTTCATAACTGAATCAATATGCTGGCAGATCCTCATACGTCGAAACCGACGGGGAGTCCATTATATATATATATATATATATATATATATATATATATATATATATATATATATATATACATCATAAAAGGTTAATGCTCAGGTTTGAATCAGACCAGAAAACAGTAATATTAAAAAGTATTTTTAACGTACATAATATACTGTCTCTTGTGATAAAAGATAAGACGGTATCCCGAAGTGTGGAAGAAATACTTAATGTGCGTATAAATTAAAATATATAAAAGAAAACGCATTCTTTTTTTATGGCATCTCTCACTGTTTCTATCTCACTTTAATTGTTACTCATAACGCCACTGCGGGCTTTTTTTCAGTTTTCACCTTTCTTTCTTAAGAATATCAGAAGGCAGCCAACGTATATATATATATATATATATATATATATATATATATATAACGTTATAACGTTGTATATATATATATATATATATATATATATATATACACCAGAAGGCAGCCAACATCATATATATATATATATATATATATATATATATATATATATATATATATACGTTATATATATATATATACGTTATATATATATATATATATATATATATATATAATGTGGTTGCCTTCTATATATATATATATATATATATATATATATATATATATATATATACCAGAAGGCATCATACATATATATATATATATATATATATATATATATATATATACCAGAAAGCAGCCAACGTTATATATATATATATATATATATATATATATATATATATATATATATATATATATATATATACATTATGTTTCTACTAGAGAAGTGATTTCGCCATTAATCGCATTAATATTGTTGATTGATTCTATGTGTGATTATTTTTTATATATAAAATATATGCTGCCTAATTTAATATATATATATATATATATATATATATATATATATATATATATATATATATATATATATACGTTAAGAAAACTGAAGTTATTCATCAACTTTGCCCGACACGAAGCAAATTAGAGGTTTAAAACAGAGATCCCCTGTTAGTAATTTCTTGAGGTCCTTTTAGAAGTTTATGGAAAGAATCTCTTTCAAATACCTCGGGAGTAAGGTAAATTCAAGTGCATCACTTGATGACAAGATTGTTAATCGTATTGCAAAAGCCAGCGCTTTCTTTGGTTCGCTGCATTGTTGTGGGTCGAAAGAGGAATAAAGCTTTGCACTCAAATCAAAGTGTACAAAGCTGTCATTTTCTCCACTCTTTGGCATGTCTCTGAATCTTGGACACCTTATAGATGGTACACTAATAGATTAAATGTCTTCCAAAAAGGCTGTCTTCCTACAATCTGTGGACTAACGTTTAATGATCGAGTTTCAAATACCGACCTTTTTTGAGAAATGCAATATTGGTACTCTAAAGAGCCTCATAATGCAATCACATCTACGCTGGGCTGAGCTGGCCATGTGGCAAGGATGATTGATGATCGCATAACAAAAGTTCTGTTTTTTACAGTGAACTCCAGAGTAGTCATAGAAATGTTGGTAGACTTTGGCTCAGGTATAAAGATAAACAACCTTACTTACATCAACATTCCATTCAAGAACTTTGAAGAGGGAGCAATGAAGACATCAGAGTATCGTTCTAGCTGCCATGCATGAAAGACGAAAGCAAAATAAGACAACTGATACACTTGGATTCAATTCATTCTCCTGTACTGTTTGTGCAATTATCAAGCCGGTCTCAAAAGTCATACCCGTCATAGGTATGCAGATAATTAGTTCGTGGACGTCGGAAACTCATAAGTCCATCACACACACACACACACACACACACACACACACACACATATATATATATATGTAGTAATTATTAGGAGGATTTGATAATTATATTCACTTAATTCACCGAGTCTCATAGAAACCTCAACAGAATGCAGAAAGCACTAGACGCCCGTTTTGGGACTCATCAGCAGTGCGTATCCACTACCGAGAATTAAAACCCTGACAGTTAGGTTGTCAAGCAGACATCATACCAACTGTTCTACTGGACCTCGGTGACGAAAAGATTGCAAATCAGACTCAATATAGCGTCGCTTGCTCACATATACTGCGTTCTCTGTAACCATAGGACTGTGCTTCCTGGAGCCACGACTACTCTCACCAAGCCGCTCACACTGGAACATTAGAAGCCGGTTCAAGCGATGATGTACATGATAGAAATTGTTAGGAGGATTTGATAATTATATTTAATGTTTCTGCATTCTGTTGAGGTTTCTATCAGACTCGATGAATTAATTAATTAAAATATATATATATATATATATATATATATATATATATATATATATATGAATATCAAAGTGAACATTTAGAGACGACAGGCTGTTTGATGCTAGACGAGTGCGTGAAACATGAAACAGACTGTCGCCTCTAAGTGTTGATTTCAATGTTCACTTTTATATTTACACACGCTCTATCTCTGATATTGAGCACTTTATCCCATAAATATAGCACACCTTAAGAAAAATATTTCTTTTATATATATATATATATATATATATATATATATATATCCCAGTCTGTTCATATCTGTCTATTAGTCTGAAATATCGAGATAGCGTGAAACTCAAGTAACAATTCGGACTGTCCTTTGGTAAGTGTTAACTCTGTGAATCGCTTTTTACTATGTCGAGGTAATCTAGACGTTGAACACTTTATTAAGTAGATAGGTATTTGCCTTTAGGACCATTTGCATTTTGCCTTTACTGTTTCGAGATTTTCTCTAATTTAAAGTGTTAGGTTATATATATATATATATCTTTGTGTGTATGTGAGAGTGAGTGAGTGTGTCTATATAAG